TTGTCACCCCCAGACAGCAGGAAGTAACTTTAAGAACATGATGCCCACATTCCCAAGAGGTGGGACAGGTGGTTTTTGGTCGATCTTTGGGATATGGATATTTGTCATTGCTGACAGGGACTGGTTAAAAACGTTGTTGGTTGGTCCTGCAGCGGGTGCCCAAGCCTCAGAGCCCTCATCCATCCGACTGATGGAAGCAGAGGCAGACATCCACAGATATACACTGAACTGAACTCTGGCACTTAGTTGCAGAGAGGGAGGAATGAAGAGTGAAGGGGTCAGTACCAGGTTGGCCTGAACAAGGGGGGACACATCGACCCCAGATGCTGTCTGGGAGGCCAGCACAGGACTCATCCAGAACCCTGAACATGGATGTCAATAAGGAGGCCTCTGCACTCTAGGGAGCCCCTGGTAGTGGATTAGTATTTTTCCCTGGTGTAAGAAGGGACTTTGAGAGCCCATCCCATGGGTGAGTGGAGGGAGAGGGAGAAGGGATTGACATGTGAAACAAGCTTGTTCCTAATTTGAACTAATAAAAATAAAAAATAAAAATAAAAATAAACGTTGTTGGCCATGGCCAGGAAGAAAGTTGAAGAAAGGGATCAGATTCAAGGGGAGATACATATATGACAGGACAAAAAGGGTAGATTATTGAATCTACTCTGAAAAAAAGGGAGGATATAAATATGATAAGATTTAAAAAGGAAGATTATTGAATCAAAAAGGAAGATTATTGAATCTACTTCAAAAAAGCAACTGCTAGTTTTAAATATTTACATTGGATTGAACTTGTATATTGTATACAAATTGTATATATTGGCACAAATTTGAGATTAATTTTGTTAAAGCATACTGTACAAAAATTTCTAATATTCTTCAAGGTAAAATTGTACCTATACAACTCATTTAGCAATTGTGGAGGAGCACAGATCATGTCCCACCAGAAGAGGGAGTGGCCCAAGCTTACACCAGGCGCCCTTACAAGATGGCACTGGGAGGAAGCTACAGAGGAGAGGCTTCAAGGTTTACTGAGAAAAACAATTGGCTGACCACACTCACACCAGATGAGGTCATCACACTAGCAGACCATGCCCAAGAGGAGATAGGACACTAGATACATAATAGGAATGCCTTTAAAATCACTGGGTAATACTTATCCTGCCCTGTGGTTTTTTACTTTAAGAAGGCTTCACTGTTAAACAATTAATTGAGATCTTGCTTGACTTGACTCCCTGTTGCGTCTGATTGTCTCCGGGTTTCAGCGAGGCTGCAGGATGAGAGAACAGCACACTCTACCCTCCCCGACCTCGACCCAGGGGCCTCTAGAGACCCCAACAATGTAATGCAAATTTCTACTTCTTGAAAGTTATTACTAACTATATAAGATAAGGAAATGTAGCTTAGTAATTAGTCAACTATTACAATCAAACGTGTAGTCAGATTAGTCATGTTTTCAAGGTCAAACATATATTTTAGAAAGACAGGTCATCTTCAAACACTTCAGAGATCTACACAATACGGCATTTAAGATATTTTAATAACATAGGTCCTCTTTTTTATGATAATGAGACATGTCTGTTCCTGGCAGCACCAATATACTTAAGAGAGGATGATAGGCATCTAATAAACTCCACATGGTTTACTTTCTTTGTGGCAAAAGTAAGCCACTGGACAAGAAAGTGCCCCTGCCTTGACAGTATGCTGTCCAAATTGGACAAACAGGACACCAAAAATAGTGACTGCAAACCTTGCCAAAACAAGGTGGGACAGACCTTCAGAAAATCCTGCTTCACAGAAAAGCCTGTCAGAGACGCTAGGCTGGAGACGGTGTTCCAGTGTTTCAGAGGACATTTGGGTGACTGTCCAGGCAGCCAGCTGTTTGTCATTTCTCACATATTTTGGAAGTCTGCTTACTCAGTTAATATTATTTCCTTCTTGGGTCTCTGAGGAGTTGAAACCTAAATACCATAGTTACAGTTTTCATTGTTTACCAGAATCAGAAAAGACACTCACTAAAGGGGTATAAAGTGTAAAAGGTTGAGAGAAATAAAAAGATAATTTGATAACTCAAATTATAATAGAAAATAAATTAGGTACAAGACTTTGGACTCACCAAGATGGAATAAATAATGGAGTATTCTCTCTGAATTGTCAAATGCAAATGGACTAGACATTGTTGATGCGCTTATTTCCTGTATATATTGTATATACTTATTGTATTTATTATATATAATTCTTCTTATGCTAGTTATAGCCTTTTCTTTTCATATTAGACACAAAAAAGAGAATTGTGGTGATATATTCTTTATGATTTATTAAAGCTTGCCTGAGGATTCAGAAAGCAAAGCCAGCCATAAGCTATAGAGATCAGGCAGTGGTGGCACACACCTTTAATCCCAGGATCTCTCTGAGTTCAAGGCCACCACGGCCTACACAAGAGCTCATGCCTTTCATCCCAGCACTTGGGAGGTAGAGGCATGAAGATATGGTTGGGCAGAGAAAGGAATAAAAAGCAGGAGACAGAGCTTTTGCGTCTGTGGATTCCTGGAGACAGGGCTGCCATTTCAGTTTGGTAGAGGTTGAATCTACTGGCTTGGCTGCTTTGCTTCTCTGCTCTTCAGTTTGAAGCTTGAACCCCAATATCTGTCTCTGGGTTTTTATTTTTCATGTTACATTTCCCAATCTCTCTGCAGACTAAATGTATGGTTTTGTACAATTCCCAGTCTCTCTATGGGTGGCATTTACTATTAAAAGTTTTATTTTGGAAATCAGTATGGCAGTTTCTCAGAAAATTAACTCAATCTACCTCAAGACCCAGCTATACCACTCTTGGGCACATACCCAAAGGATGCTCAACCAAACCACAAGGACGCTTGCTCAACAATGTTCGTTGCAGCATTATTCATAATAGCCAGAACATGGAAACAACCTAGATGCCCCTCAATTGAAGAATGGATAAAGAAAATGTGGTACATTTCCACAATGGAGTACTACTCAGCTGTAAAAAAAAAAAATGACTTCATGAAATCTGCAGGCAAATGGATGGAACTAGCAAAAAACCACCCTGAGGGTTACACCCTGATGTAACCCAGACCCAGAAAGACAAACACAGTATGTACTCATTCATAAGTGGATATCAGATTTAAAGCAAAGGATAGCCAGAATACAATCCACAGCTCCAGAGAAGCAAGGAGGACCTGAGAGGGATGCGTAGATTGCCCTGGGAAAGAGGATTAGATGAGATCTCCTGGGTAAACTGGGGGAGGGGGACCAGTAAATGGGAGGAAATGGCGGATGAGAACATGAGGGAACAAGATGGTTGAATTGGGGGTGGAACAGAGTGGGACAGCAATGAAAGAGTTATCTTAATAGAGAGACCATTATGGGGTTAGGGAGAAACCTGGTGCTAGGGAAGTTCTCCTGGTGCCAGGAATCCTCAAGGATGACCCCAGCTAACACTCCTAGCAATAATGGAATGGAGAGGGTTGCCCGAACCCGCCTTCCCCTGTAATCAGATTGGTGGATATCAAAACAGACATCACAGAGCCTTCATCTAGTAACTGATGGAACCAGACACAGAGATCCACAACCAAACACCAGGGAAAGCTCCAGGAATCCAGCCGAAGAGAGGGAGGAGAAACACATGAGCAGGGGAAGTCACGATGATGATGGAGAAATCTACAGAGTCAGCGGAACCGAGCTCGTGGGAGCTCAAGAACACTAGACGCACAGCCTCCACGTGACCCAACTGGGCCCTGTGCATGTGGAAGACAGT